TTGTCATGACACCAAGTAATCTTGATCTTCTTGGTGTTCGAGAAGATGAAACTGCGGAGGAAATTTTAGCGCGACTACAGCCAATCGACCGTTCCAGTATTGTTTGGGATGACCCTGAAGATCAAACTGATACACAAGAACAGGAAAAGGAAGCTAGTGGTTCTGATGACAGTGAGTCTGAAGATGAAATAGAAAAATTAGTGCAACTATCAAAACAGGTTCCCCCTGATGAAGTAAACCGGCTTCATTCAACCAATCTAGACTGTCAGAATGGCAATTTTGATATGGATGGCAAGTTCAGAGAGTGGCATGAAGTAATCAATAAAAAAGGCTACCAGGACGACCCATTGATTGTTTTGCCTTATGTGATAACTGACTTCTGAAACACAAATGGTTAACAATGAAAACTGGTGGCTAAAGAATTATACAGGAGGCTACCTAGCTAAATAAAAAAAAAAATCGGTTGTCCTTCATTTTCATATTTCTATAGAACCCTTGTTAGTCTGTTTGTTAGTCTGTTTGTATTTTGTGTGTGTGCTATTTCTTTGTTTTCTTTGGATAGCCTTCCAAAAATCTTGCTCTTTAAGTTGAAATATAGTTGAAGTGAATGGCATTCATTGAGGATGCTGACCTTTGCTTCTGTTGCTTCAATTATTCTTTGAAGACAACCTCAAAAATATACAAGGATCCTTAGGATTAAGTATACAGTGCCTAAAAATAGTGGGCTAAGTTTTTAGTCACAGTCAGAGTAATATTAATCATATGCAGCCAGTCAGAGCTATGTTTTCAATAAGTGTAGATAATGATTTAGAAACTCAAGGGCATGTAATCTCTCCTGTAGTAACTAAAGACTTGGTCCATTCATTTCTATTCATCTATTCTAAAGTCAGTACAGTTGCCTTCAGTAACTTTTCCATATCCTAACTGAGAATAGTATACATATATATGTTTTAAGTCAATGAAATGTAATCTTCAGGGTATCACCTGAACAAGGCATTGGGCAGAATGGCCAAATTCTTGGTATGATATATTGTTGTGTCCTGGATAAATGTGTGAGGATAGGATAGTCACAGGTGAACCCTAGACCAGTCAGTAGGTTAGTGGAAGTCTTCAGTCTAAGACCTTTCAAGTAAACTGACCCCACTATAAACTGTGATAACTGCATTGTTACAAATAAATCCTTCAATATTTGGTTCTGGTAACAGGTTTTTTAAGTGAATGGTCATGACTGTTGCTTTAATGTATGGGTCCATTACACTAAATTATTGTTTTTGTTTATTTTTTTCTATTGATTGATGTATTATATAGATATATATATATATTTATATATTTAGTTCTCATATACAGTCTTTGCTAAATGATAGGGGTAATGATATTAGAACAGTTTAGGAAGAATGTCATTGCCGAAATGGCATTGGAGGCAGAAACTAAAAGGGTCTCGAGGGTTCACTCCTACTCCACAAGTGCTGCAGGACTAGACTTGAGCATTAGAAGTGTTGAGCTTAATCCTGTTGATGACCAGACCGGAATTCTCTACTAATTCTTTGTTTATTTTTCCTATCTTTTGTTAAATGTACTGGTATTGTTTTTGTTTCATTCTAACATTTGCTTAATCAGACTCAATCAAGTTACTCATATGCTGAATTTGATTTTGTTCTGGCTGGTTGTCGTATGTCTGTGATGGATCCAATTTATCTTGGTGGAAAGTTTGTTATACAGAAGTTGAAAAGGTAGATTATGCTCATGTATATTGTCTTTACATGCCAAAGAATCAATTTACATGATCTGTACACAGGAACCTTTGTTTTATAAGGATTTCTTCTTTCTTTACTCAAAAGTTGCATTCCTATGCTGTGAAATGAAAAGAAACATTCTTCTTTTTAAACATATGTTTCTATGCTTCCTTTGTTTGATCAGCTGCTGCCTTAGAACGGTTTCTGGACTTTGCAATTTGTAGATTGGACACGTTGGGGCTGTCAACTTGAGTGGGATTTGAAGCTACAAGGCATTAAAACTATATTTGCTTTTTGTTAAAATTTTATTTTAAATCTCTCGGCCTGTAAATTCAAAACCCACAATACACATTTGTATCAAGCATAGAATAATAGTATTAGACTGAAACTTTACAAAGCTTTGATGTTATCCTCACTTGTGCCCAAAGGTGATGTGACAAAGGCATAAGGGCACTTGTGCTGTGTAACACAAACGTGTTTGATGGACACATTGTGTTTTTTACCCTGTCTTTGGCATATTTGAAATAATCTTGAGTTATTTGTGATCTAACACATTGAATTATACATACCAATGTGTAAATATACGTATATATCTGGAAACCATTTCAATAGATTATGGCCTGGACTATGCAACTTGATAACTACAAAAACCCCTCTTACCCTTACCTTGTATCTAAACAGCTCGGCAATGTGTTTTCCCCTCTGTGTTCAGTCATTATTGTAAGGATGCCTAAAGGAAAACAAATTAAGCATCTATTGTTTTGGCTATTAAGGACAATTTCATAAATAGTCATAGCCAGACTTTGTTATTGTGCACTACTTTATTAAGTTACATGTTGAAGTACTGTCATTGGTGTATAACTTAGGCGCATTGCATTATTAAGCTTTGTAAAGCCCTTTATACTGCAATACCTGCTTCCATTGCCTTATTTATTTACTACCATATGCAGAATAATCCCACAAAATCATGTATTTTATGCACTATAAAGAAATGGAAGGTGTTTGCTTAAGAGTGGGCCATTATTACAAAACAACAGGAAAACATTGACGTTTTGGAACCAAAGCTTTATTGCATAAATTGTTTAGTATACCCCCTTTTTTATTTGGGTATCTTTTGATACACCAGTGATTGAACTGAAAAATGCAAATGTCCAATGCCACCATTAAATATAATAATGTTATTTGATGTTTTGTAATTTATAGTTTTGTTGAAAGGAATACAACGGATTCATTCCCATGAAAATACAAGAAAAGTCCAATAAATTGATAACACATACTTGCTTTTATTATCATGTGTACTTGATATTGTGTGTGAAACCATAGTTTGTAAAAACAATCACTTTTTTTTTAAGTAATGCATGTTGTTTAGAAGAGTAGCAGATAAAACCGAGTCACTATTTATGCACATTGTTGTGGGAAAATTTAGAAGGAAAATTCTGTTGAAAGTGATTTTACGGATGGCAATTATGTTAGTAAAATTGCCTTGCTTTAGTAACGGTCAAGCCGCCCTACCCCATTTCTATGTCTGCTGTTCCGTGGTGGTGGTGGGTGGTGGGGGGGGGCTTAAGATACCGAACTGAGGCCTAAGGTAGGGAATCACACCTACATTGACCTCAGCCTTCGCCTCAACTAATTTTGCATGGTCTTTTCTTCTCCCCTTTGCTCCTCTTCAGCTCCTGACCACATACTGAAAGGATGAAAGACTGGCTCTGTCAGTCCTGAACCGCCTACGTATTCCCTTTGCTATTTCCTCTTTACCCGTTTCAAAACCATACTAACCTGCAGCGTTCTACAGCCGTTGACATCTAACATGTCCTAATTGTACCTTTTTGCCGCAATAATTTGTCAATGCTGTATGACTTCCTTACCTGGGGGTTTCGCCCACAAACCTTGCCCAATTGTTAATTTTTTTATACGCTGCTAATGACCTTGGATATTACACGGCCATAAATTTTCAATAAATAAAAAAAATCATCCCAATTTTTCAGCTAAAGACGGTTTTTAATCCTTATAAAGACAGTTTTTAATCTTTATAGTTAATGCAATGTTTTACCAATAATTTCCCTAGTTAATCATGTCACCGAGAGTGGTATATGGTTAGCAAAACACCAAGTAGAATACACGTTTTAAGAACGTTTAATGTTTCATCAGACGAAATATCTCTTGGATGAGAGCAAAAGCGATATAATACTTGTGTAGACCATAGATGAGGGTTCCCCACACTTCTTTCGTTCGGACAGGCAGCCGCGGTATCCGGCGAGCAATCGTCAATTTGTAGGGCTATTAGTAGATATTTGACCATGATTGTATTTTTTAAGGTTACAAACCAGTTTTTGTCGTTAAAGGCACTCACACGGATTAGACTAACTCTCCCCCTCTCTCCCCCACTTCCATACACACGTACGTGCGTGCGTGTGCGTGCAAGGTCTCTATAAGTACTTGTATAGACCTTGAATGCACGCACACTGAGTTCCGAGACTGATCCCACCTTCATTATGGTACGAAACATCGGAATGTACTTTGGTTGTTTCTTTTCCCTAAGATATTTCTTTACCTGTTTGCAGACGAATTATCCAGTCTTTATCGTTGGACTGAAATTTCAGTTAACATATTGGTTTATGTGAGGAAAAATTATAGGTCACTGATAAAATTATTAATGCAGAAATATTGAGCAACACTTGGCATCGGTGATTGCAGGTCTCAGCATACGTCTTACTTGCCCATTTAATCTTCGGATGCTAGAAACAAGGTAAACAGTCGCATATCATCATTATCTATTTTGGGTTCTCGCTACTCGACGATAAGCACCTTGGCGTGGGTACTACGGCGCAGTCGTGTCTTCTCCGTAGTTCATGTCAACCGCAACTTTGCAAAAAACATTACTGCTATTAATAAAAAAGGTATCTTATTACCGCAAACAAAAACAGAGCCAAGATATCGATATATATTCCATGGTATTTACTGTAGACAGATACGTTATTCTCATTCTTAACAGAAGATGCTACAGTACTATTGTTTATAGTGTTTGAATGACATCTTTTGAATGGCTTTTATATAACAGATGCTTAATGTGCGTTTTCCAAGTCCCACAGTTCTTACGGTGTTTATTCTCATAATGATGTTTATTTCTTCATCATAATTGCAAGTCAAGTACAGAACTACAAATTACACGTAGAAATACTGATAACTACAACAATGCCATACGTAGTTACGAATTTTTTTTAGTCAGACAGCTAAAGTGACGTCACCGGCCTCGCCTGCATCGCACGCGAACGCCCGCGAATCCGGCCTCGCGCGAACGCCCCGAGCAGCCGTCGGAGCCTCAGTTTCATAACAAACATGGCCTCGGTTGCCACTGCGACGGTGCGAGCGGTGAAGGGCAGGAGGCTCATTCCCACGAGGGCGGCGCTCGTCCTGGTACGTATCGCAGGGGGAATGAGGGCGCTGGAATACGCGGGCGGAGGGAGTGCGGCGGCGAGGGAGAGGGAGAGGGAGAGGGAGGCAGGGGCTGGCCTTACGAAAGCCTATTTTCCTCTTCCTCTTCCTCTTCCTCTGTGGTGAGGTCACACAAGGTCGGGGCTGGAGGTCACCAGGCCACAGGGGCTCTTTTGCACGCCTAGGATTTTGATTTATATTTTTATTTCTTTTTCTTTTTTGTGATACTTCTAGATTATGTAAAAGGAAACTTCTAGATGCAGCTCATGGTAATTTTACACAATAGTCCCGCATAACAGTTTGAGACGATTTTGATGTTGATGGATTCCTCGGACTCTCTACTATCCATATATCTATGTAAGTTATTGTGTGGAATCTCCCATTAGTGACAATCTTAACCCTGATAGTAGGGGAGAGCATGGAAAGAACTAGGGAAATTGTGGGTGAAAATATGAAAAATATACAGACTCAGTCACCCCCTGCAACCCCCCATGGGGGCTGCTGTCCCCCAACCCCTGCCCAGGAAAAAAAAGGATCCTCCATGCTTTCATGGCAGGAGAGAGCGTAGTAACATATGGCAGTGCCCAGTGCAGAGTGTCTGACGCTCTGTCCTGCTGTTAATATGTGGAAAATTCTTTGTTTTCCTGGGTGGGTTAAGGGGGCAGCAGCCCCTCATGGGGAGCACAAGTATTAACCCATTAACGACAGGTGCCCCATATATGAGACACCCGAAAAATTAAACATTGCTGGCAGGGGCAGTGGGCGGGCGGATAGACTTCGGGGAAGCTCTGACCGCCGATTTTGTAGCTGCCTGGAATCTTTTATTCTTGGCTTCAAAATATACCGGCGTGAATGGGTTAAGTGACTGGTCATACTAATTACTGACCTCCACCGTCTTCCACTGTCCTCCACCACAAAGCGCCCTCAAAATGTTATATTGGAAGTTTCTGCATGCCAAAATTGAAATCAGCAATATATACTCATTTAAAAACATATCGGATCTTAACAACATTATTTTTATGAAAAATGTGCACATTGCAGAAACACCATTTCAGACAAGACACCAGAATTACCATCATTCACCCCAAGCACCCTCTAAATGTTATTTTGGCATATTTTTTTTATTTCTTTTTAATGTTGCTGGTATTATTTTTTGTAAGAAAAAATGCCAAAATAATATTTTGAAGGTGGTTTGGAGTGGAAGACAGTAATTCTAGTGTTTGGTCTGCAGATGATGTTTTTGCATTATGTGCATTTTAGATAAAAGATGATTATGTCTAGACTATGATTTGTTCTTTTAAAGGTAATTCTGTTTACTGGTCTCCAGATACGACATCTGTTTCTGAAGTGGGCATGGTGTACATAAAGATGTCATCAAGATTATTATTTGTTCTTATATATGGGTTGTTTAATGTTGCTGATTTCGATTTTGGCAAGGAAAAACTTCCAGAACAACATTTTAGCCATGCTTTGGGGTGGCTGACGGTGGAGAACGGGAATTAGTATGACCTTCTTGTGACTGATTTTGTGTATATTATTCATATTTTACCCTGCAATTTCCCTGGTACCCATCATGCCTTCCCCTATTATCAGGCCCAAGAATGTGGGGATTTCGGGGGTTTCCATGCAGTGATCTTTATATATTTGGATACTAAGAAGTGAGAGGAATCCGTTGATACCAAAATCATCTTGATCCGTTATGCGGAACTTTTGTGTAAAATTACCACAAAATATAACTATAGCTATTGGGAAGCCGTGATTTGATTACAAGTTTGAGGATACAGGATAATTTTTGCTATGCACAAGCCTTGGTCAATGTGTAAATGACCCCTAATACCAATTTTCATAAGGAGGGCAGAAACTCCAGGTTAAAAAATGCTCTGTAGTGAATGCCTTAAAATTTCACCAAAATTAAGGGCATCAAGGCAATTTTTGCATTTTTGATTGACATCAACACAGTTGTGTAAAAGCATGTATAGAAATAAAAAATCTAAAAATGAGCAGTTTAGCTGGCAACTTGTGCATCATGATGATTCAGTGTTCAGCTTTGTCTGATCTTTTGCATAACACATTGGTCTGCCCAGTTCTACAGACCGTGTGGATTCTATCTGTACACACTGCTGATGGCTGCCGGCCCGCTGGTACTGGCCACACATCGGCAGTCTGATCCACACAGCTATCATACCAGCCAAAAGAGCATGGTGGCTATATGTTACGGTTGTGGTAATTTGTTGCTGTGAAAATCCTCATAATTTTAGGGAACTGCGGCAATTAGAAAGGGCACGACAGCAGTTGCTACTGTTTTGCAAAGGACATTCATAGTAAATAGGGGGCTTCACTCTCTAAGCCCTCTTTCAGGGAGGATTGCTGCCACCCCTAACCCTTGCCTGATCTGTAAAATCTGCACCTCGTATGTTCTGGCAGGATAGAGCCAGGGCAACTATCCTCTGGTGACACACACTGATTGTATGTAGGCCCACCCTAGCCTTGCCTGGTCTCCAAAATCTTCACCTTGTATGTTCTGGCAGGATAGAGCCTAAGCATATATCTTGATCTTGCACCAATAATTTCTTACCATGACCAGTAAATCCACAGTGGCCAGCCTGCGAGATGTGAAAATCCTCTAAACTGTTGGTGGGAATTGTGACAACTGTCTGCTGCTCTTTGTTATTGCAATGATATTTTGCATATGAAAGATGAAACAGCAGCTTATACACAGCCTAGCCATGATGGAAGTGATTTCAATTTCAACTGACATCCCTTGGGTCCAGCTTCTATCACAAGGGATTACTTATTACAGATTTTATTGGTTTTAATAGAATGGTTGCTAGTGTCTATGGCCACATCACAGCCAAGTGCAAATACCATTGGCTCATTTGATTTTCTTGTGTACGTCATCCCCTACAATTCTGTTGCTGCTGGAGGAGAAAGAACCATGGAGCACCTGGAAATTTTGAGTTTTATATCCTCTCTGCTACCCTTATTATTAGTTTGTGAAGAAAATGCTTTAGAAGAAAAGTGTCTTAGAATATTACTTCTGTTGGATATCAAGAGCAGATTATTCAGTTTTGGTGTTAGGTGTCATTTTCAATAATACTTATGCTGTGCATAGTCAATAAAATAAGGAGTAAATTTTTATGACCACATATTCAGAGATACACGAAATGCATTTTGGTTGCTAGATTGAACCTGTAGTAGCCTGATTATGTACATTAGAGCCCATATCATTATGTTACACTCTGTGCAAGAGTGAATGTGATTTTATTGAAGGATAAATTTTTTAAAAATTCAGTCATTTTCGTAGATCTTATTTTTGAGAGATTGTATGCAGTGATATACAAGGCTATTGCCACCACAGCTTCAATACTTTACTTTTTTGTGTAATACTTCAAGACAGTCACACTGGCAGAGTGCCAAAGACAATGCAAGTATATAGAAAAGGTATAAATGAGAATGAATATCTTTACAATACAAGAGATGTATTTGACTGGTTTTGAATATATCCTCATCAGAAATACATGATGAAGATATTCATTCTCATTCATACCTTTTCTACATTTGTCAACATGAATATGGTTCATAATGTGAATAGTTGGCACAAGGAGACTGATCTTGTAAACACGAATCAATGTTACTTATATATTCGCATCAACAGCAAGAGAGTGCCATGCACTGGTGTGTAACATCTTCCTTGCATGGCAGGTAAATGATTTGTATGCCACAATTTACCCTTTATACAAAACAATAGTCAATCATAACATTACACATCCTGTTCTCCTGCAGGCAATGCCTCAGGGTATGTGGTGTGGGCATGAGGGTTCCTTATAAAGAACAGCAAATGTAATATTTTCATCATCTTAATGTGATATGAATGTCCCGTCACCTGGTGCCAGGCCCATGTTGTCCATGATGTGAATAACATGTCACCCGGAGCCGTGCCCAAGTTGTCCACGACGTTATCCATAGGTGTAATTAATGCACTACAAAGCTATGGGCATCAGGGTAGGTGTGGAGTCAACTGCTCAGAAGGCTAAAAAGAAGCTTGAAACCTTTTGAATGACTGTTTGTCTTCAGTAATCACATACCATGATGTGATAGGACACCATCTCTGAATAGATGAAGTTTGGTTGGGTGTAGGTCTTAATTGGAAGTGTGTTCAAGTACTGAATATACATTAGAAACAAGTGAGCCATTCAGGATAATGTTCAGAATCAGAAATAATCAAAGTATCTTCTTTTTTTTCTTTTTTTTTCTTATTTGTTCTTACTGGTCTCCCAGTCCAGAGAGATGTGGGATCCTTGCTTACAAACTTGCACATATTCTTGCAGATATACTTAAGCATATCCATATCGTAAGTCATACCTCAGATGCCAGACATGTAAACACAGTTATACACACACATACACCACCCCCCTGCACACACGCATGCATTGCGGCATCAAAACAAATTATGACAGCAGAAATGTGCAATGGTTCCCGCAGTCTTCTCCCTAACTCTTGCTACTCTTTCATGATTCAAGAGTTCTAACCTTTTCCAGGACAGAGAAAATTGCTTAAGAATTCCACAATTTGAATATTCAACTTGAAATTGGTGGCTACGCGTTTGTTTATATTCATCAGTCAAATGAGAATCCATGGTCAATGCTTTTGTTTTTACTTTTTATTTGTATTTTAGCTTAAATTTAAATGTAAATGTTGATGCAAAACTAAATATGAGTAATTCTGAATAATTTAAAATATATAATATTTAAGCTTTGAAATGAAAATATATGCATACCATACATACTGTAGATTCTCAACTTTTTTTCTTTCGTCCATCGATGGACAAGTAGGTGTCCATTTCATCAAACTTGTGGGTGAAGTCCAGTGGATTGATTTCATCAATGGACAAATTCCATTAAAAATCGCAGGATTTCACAAATCTATGGGTAGTCTGTCGTCTTTAGTAATGTCACGAGTGGGTTTTGATGTTCATATTGATATTTGTAAATCTGTGTGTTAGATTTCATAGTACATAGTACAATTGCATGTTTCAAAATATCACAGCTGTTCTGTTGGGAAAATGAAGATTTCTGTAACTACATTTTTTTTACTGAGTTGAGTACTATTATTGGTTAATATTCAGTTAATAACATAGTTGTGTTTTATCATACTGTCTTTGGGCTTTCTTGCTCATAATAGTAATATATATTTTTACTTTTTTCTATTTATTATTATTTTTTACAGACCCAGACTGCTGTTCACAAGGTTAGAGAGCTACTGGACAGGAATCCAGAAGCTGTAAGTATAAGTGATCACCATTACTTTCAATTCAGGCATGTAATTTACAAAGGATTTGTGCTCATCAAGCCTTTGAAGATGTGTAATGGAAAGTTATATTGTTCAGAATGAATGACATTAAATTGTTAATGTCTCCTTCGATCTTTTACATTTTAACCCAGTGCCGACGGGTAAAAATTTTTGGCAAGTGGAAGTAATAACGGGATTGTTGGCAAGCATCGGCAGTTTCCCCAGTTTGTGCCCGGCTCGATCAGGAGTTTGCAAGCGACATTTGGCACCTAAAAGCTTTTAATTTGCTATAATTTATAAAAATATTATAATTTTGAAGGTTTACCTTCATTATAAATGCCATTGCCTTAAATCTTTACCATATAAATGAAGTCGCTCCTATTGGAGAAAAACAAACTCCGTCCGACGAGCCAGTGGTGCGGGAATGGGCATGATACGATGCCATCCGTGTTTCTGTCCACAACAGCCATGGCATGTATGTACATGCCACCCGTCGGTTAGGGGTTTAATAAAGACAATAGTGGTATAGAAATCTAAAATATAAGTTTTTTAATGTAGGATGTATGTAAAAGTTTTGTGGTTTACATTAGCACTATTTCTCCCCATTGTTTATTTTTATATATATATTTTTGTTATAAATGTATATATATAAATATATATTTGTTTTGCTATTTCCTCTTAAAAATTCCACAAATTTCTGAAATCTCCTCTAATCTTCTTCATTCTGTGCAGGTTGGTCTGAAGGTTGGTGTGCGACAGAGAGGCTGTAATGGGCTAAGCTACACATTAGACTATGCTAAAGAAAAAGGAAAATTTGATGAGGAAGTAGTTCAAGATGGTTAGTATGTGCGCATTTTTAAGTCTTCATAATTATTTAATATCACTGAAGGCAAACTTAATTGTTTTACCTTGATAATATAAACCAATTTTACTAAACTTTCAATTGATAGGCATGGTAAAGAAGTTCCCAGTTCAAATTGTTTCAAACTTTTCTTTCCAGGAGTGCGAGTTATCATCGACAAGAAAGCACAGCTGACCTTATTAGGGACAGAAATGGATTATGTACAAAACAAATTGTCATCTGAATTTGTTTTTAACAATCCCAATATAAAAGGAACTTGTGGTTGTGGTGAAAGTTTTTCCATTTAGTGAAGTTAGTGAGTGTGATTACATTAATAAATGCAAGTGTAGGAATATAGTGTGAAACTTACTTTTTTCTTTAACAAATTGCTAATGTTGTTCATCAGTGTTTTTAACTGGGCTTGCCCAGTATGTAATCCAATAAAGGCCTCAGGCCTTATGTCTACCTAATGCTTTGACATTTGTATGTTTTGTACATTATGATGTAAATCATCCTTGTATAATACAGAGCTCAGATATAGGCAACAATCACTTGATCATAGTATATTGCAGTGTGAAGTACTTGTCTGTTTTGAGATTTTTCGGGATATGCTCGTCTTTCTCATTGAATACCTATGGTCAAGTGATTGATTTTATTTGTGGAAAAAAAAAAAAAAATGTATTTATATGTCTTTATTTGTAAATGTGTAAATAATATTAGAAAGTAAAAAGTAATATATTACATTTCTTTCAATGATTTAAAACAATTTTATTTAAAGACTGTGAAATGGACAATCTTTTTATTTTTATATACTGTGCGCACTAATCCATGCAGTCATGTGAAGAAGAGAAGGGAAATAATCTTAAATAGTGCTGAGATTTTTTTTTTTCCTTCTGTCCTTCCAAGGACTAGAAACTTGATTAACTATAAACAAAATTTGGCACCCTTGATGTATAATAAATATTTCCAGATGCCAACCCCATCTTAACTTACACCTTTGAAATACAATGATGTGAACACAAAACAGAAATATTATAAAACATCATATATCACTGGAGTGAAGACTTAAGTGTAATCTTCTTGCAAGCCATATTTTCCAAGAAACTTTTTTGTTGCAATGGAGAAGTTATTTTCAGTGTCTGCATTCTTAATTTGCTGGAATGGAGGTCTCAAGGCTTTGGTCTCTCTTGCCGCTCTTGTTCTTCCTGTCATGGCTGGAAAGAAAGTCTCTAATCAAAATCAATTAAAAAATCACATAGCCTACCTGCTAATAATCAAAGAGGTCTTTTTTCACAATTTCTTCCCAAGATTATCAACAAAACTTAGTATAATCAAAAAAATACTCATGATATGAAGGCACACAATTATAGTGGGAGAGAGAGAGAAGTGTCAAATTAAAAGGGAAATCTAAAATCCTCTAGTTTTGGCCAACATAAATAAGGGATTAGAAATTTTGCAAATGTATGAAAGGATAATGGAGCAAGATTCTGGTTACCAATGTATAAAACTTGAACCTGTTTATTTATATGTCAAAGAAAAGAGAAAAAAAAGAAAAGAAAGAAAGGAGAGAGAGAGAGGAAATCTAGCACCTTAACCCCTTCAGTCCGGAGGCTTCACGGCAATCGCATGGCTAAAAATACAGGCATTAGGCGTACGTGAATGACCACACTGATAAATGCTTGGTTGTAGGTCAGGCACAAAGGAACACTCCATATTTATATTTTCATATGCTTTATCCACATAATAATAGGCTTTTCCTTGCACAGACTCCATATCATCTCTCTTAGTAGTTTAATTTTTTTTTTCTTGAAATATTCAATTTTCTATAATGCAACCTGTTCTGTCACTCAGGGCATCTAGGAATAGGATGCTGTGCATGGAAATAGTGTCCTCCCTGAAGCCGGGTCTCTTCCAGTCATGGCTCATGAACACTACATTCCTCATTTGTTTATCGACGGGAATAAAGCTAAAGCCGCTTTCTAAATGCCAAATGTGTCTAATCGCCCCTCCAAGAGGTTTGTTCACAGGTGGCAAGTCTTCAGCCGAAACGCTCACAAAGGCAAATTCACTACAGCTGGGCCCACAGCCAGATTTTGCCGTGACAGCATGTTCACGTCACCAGCCCTCAAGCCAAAGTTTTTCATGATGTGATGGGCATGACATCCAGTTCATATGGGTTAATGTGCCAGTAAATAATTTTCTTACATTATATGTAGAGAAAATTACCTACCTATTTCTATGTAGATGTGACAATTTTTTATTTAGTTATTTAAATTTATTTTTGACAAAATTATTACATGATCGGGAAAAAACAGCTTACAATATTGACAAAATGGACAGTTATAAACCAATGAGTGATGTCTTACCAGGAGAAGCTGCAGCAATAGCAGCAAGCTGTGCATCTGAGAGATACTTAGCAGCTGTGGCATCGGTCTCTTGATATGGCACTGGCCCCGAGTTGGGGATAGAGTTTTGGTACATGGACAACATGTTATGGAGTCCTGGCAGGTACATGGTATCCAATACTGGTCTGAAAAGAAGGGGTATTTTGGTATGACATGGAAGAAAAAAAAGAAAAGCCAGCAAGATTCCTATAATCATCTTTGTATTACCACCTTAGTTTACAGTAAAGTGAATGATTATTTTATTTATTTATTGATAGAAAATGGTCATTATTTTTTTGATAGATTTTTATTTTCTTCAATTACTTGAATATTTCATGCTAACATCCTTGCCACTTCTTCCACTGTAATTTTTCTTAAAGTTTCTATAGTTTTAAAAAGAAGAGTAAACTCCAGAAAGATTCTTGTTTTATTTGAGAACAAAGCAGTTTACAAATACAAGCTACACTCATTAACCTTTAAAATATCTGTAACATTGTGCCTTTGTGGAACTGGGATAATTCTTGTTTAATAAACTGAAGCTCCTAATGCAGAAATTAATGGAGCTATTATGCATGATCTGAATTTGTGAAGAATCTGGCATGACAAAACCTGGATGAAAGAGGCAAGACTATGAGTGTCATCACATCTGAAACTGCAACTAGGAACACTAACAGTCTTAACTTTCTGACTTCTCTTTTTATACAAACTGCCATCTTTTCCAGTGGCAATTAAGGTGCTGTGCAACACCCAAAACCTGTTTTGTGATCAAAGTCCAGACACACCGCAAAGCTCCACCCAATCCTTTGACGTAATGGGAACGGCCATTGGTTATTTTCGATTGGTGCACAGTATTTTGGAATGTATCATAGATGGCCTTTGATATCTTATGGTGGGTTGTGCTGTGTTACAGTTATCCATTATAAGAACAAATACGCATGAAAATAACCAAGGTAGGAAGAATGCATATAGCAACTAGATAAATGTTTACCACCTCCTCAATGGCTGCCACACAAGAGGTGTCGTGTAGGCCATAACTCAGAAAAGACGGCTCAGGTTGGTAAGCATATATTACTGTGGAAAACTATCCTGATAAAGGGGAAATATTCCACAAGTGGAATGTTTTGTAAATTATCTTCATCTGGATTGAAAAATAAAACAGAAACAAAAACAATACTACAGTATTTAGTTTTTTAATACCTGTTATTTGTAGCCAGTGTAGCTGGGTCAATGAAACTAATACCAAACTGCATTAACTGTTTTCTAACGGCTTCCATCTGGGGGTCAATTACTGTTGTTTCCTGTTCACTGGTGGCACTGTTTGACTCCTGAAAGAAGGAAAACCTCTTCAGTATCTCATCCAAAGATTCACTGAATTGATCTTTCATTTGAGCGTATGCAAAAGGGTGTTTCATGCACCTTACATGACCATGTGTTGAGCACTGCATGCCATCGGCCACTCAAGGCAAAAATTACAAGCATAAGATGGGCTTCAAGTGACTTAAAGCCTACTTTTGACAGACTATATCCTTATTGACTTGAGTCATAAAGGAGTTACAAGAGAACAATTGTTTAGTACACACAATTTGGAGCAGGCTTGAAGTGTATGGAACCTATCAACAACAATATTAGTGGATTTTTTTTTTTTTCTTTTCTTTTTTACCAACTCTTAAGTACATAAACCTCAGACTCATACCCTCTGTCTCTGGTGAGTGGCAGCATCCTCACTCCTTTCATCTTCCTCTGCAGCCTTAGAATTTTGCAAAATATGCTGAATATTTGTCTGGAAGATATAAATACAAATAATAATTATAATAATAGGAGAGTGAATCAGTAGGGAGCCTTTTTATAAACATGCACACATATACAACAACAAAAAGTGCTTGGGAGCTAAGGCAAGAAATACATTTCAAATCAATTCAGATGTTATAAATGTTGAATCTGTTAAAAATATTTTGGGTCAACCAGTGATTTTTAAAAATAATCTGACCATTTTCTCAGCATAATAAGAGATGTATTTTCATATCTATTAAAATCAAATGCAGAAGATTCAAAGAATGAATATCTGACTCATGTGAAAGATCCAAAAAGACCTTTTTCATATTCTCTTCTACTAAAGATGTGAGGAAAAAAAGAGAAATGTTAAATGAATGTTCCCTGAGCTTATAATCAAGCAAAAATAACAACTTTTGCTAGGGTGAAAAACATACCATTACATTGTTATAAAAAGTGACCCCTGTTGATTTGGTAGCTTGTGCACCTTCCTGATGCTGAGGACTATCATGGGCTGCTGGACTGCACATGCTAGCACTCTCACCCAAGACAGGAGAGCCTTCCCAATCTACACTTTTCTTCTGTGGATTTCTGAAACAAATATCAATTATCATTGATATTACTTTTCTTAACTAATGCCTGTAATACACCCTATAAAAATAATAAAACAAAAAGGCCCTGTATGGCAAACCTTGTAAACAATGCAAGACCCCAATCTTATTTTGGATTATTTGGCCTACTGTTTAAAATGCCAATCATGAATTTAACATTCCCTAGAACTTGATACAGACCTCATACCACTGTGAGCCTCCTCATGCCTACTGCCATCATGGTACTCTGTCATACTAATGTGGACTGAAGGATCTGGACTTGGGGGGTCTTCCTCAATAGTTTTCATGACAACTTCTTGCATTGTTAGGGACATTTCCTTGTGCACTGTCCAATTTGTTGCTTGTCTTGAGGAAGAATCCCTTCTGTTTAATGATTTTGCCTTATAATTATCTCTAATGATATCTGCTTGTCTTTCTCCTGAATTTCTGTTGTTTGTCTGATAAACTTTCCCAGCCTCTCTAGACTCAAATCTTGCACCTTGCTCAGTGCCTCTTTCAACTGCATTCTCAGATGGTGTAACAGAGGCAATCAAATCTGCCCATGAAATTTCAGTATTAATTCCTATTGATTTGGTCTCACATTTATCAGGTTCTGTCTGACTGCTGGTATCTTTAAATATTTGTTTATGTTTCTCTTGCTGATTGGCGCTGGTGGCCATTACTATTTCTCTCAATAATTCTCTGGATTCCTTGTTCCTTTGAGCTTCATTGTGTTCTTGCTTCTCTAATAACTTTTCCAGAGAAGTTTGTAGCCTGAAAATATGCTCATTTTGCTTCTCAATCAATTGGTAAACACTTGGATCACACTGATTACTTACTCTACTAGAAACATGATCTGATTGATGGGTAACTTCATCTTCCCTAAATGGACGATGAGAGGACTGACCTCCATGGGGTATAAGTCTACTACTATGCTGAAGTGAAGGGGGCATATTCAAACCCTTTCCGTAAGACTGAGCAAAATTACTAGGCTCTGTTGTTTTGCCTTCACTTATAGGTGGAGAGTATGGCTTAACATTTTCTTTTTCATATCCATACATTTGTAAACATCTCTGATGCTGTTCCATTCGTTTTAAGTGAAGTGGGGTTTCTTCATCACTCATCACAGGATTTTTATAAAAGTGGACTGATTTTGTTGTTACTTGTGATGGCCAGGAGCTCTTACTCAGCATGGCTGAATCTTCATATGATGGAGAACTGACTGTGTTCTGTGTCTGGGGAGTTAACACTCTTGTAACAGGCACTGTATTTCTTGTAATCAGTGGGGAAATCTCCCTTACTGGAGGGGAAGAGCTGTGGCCCACCTCCTTGTTCACTCCATTTTTCTGAGATGGGCTATAAATCAGAGGGTTGTAATGCTTTTCACTTATTATTGGATTTTTAAGTACTGGTGATCCACTGGCTTCTCTATGAAACTGGCCTTCTGCCTTGCTCTGCAATGGTAATTTTGGTCTTGGGTGATTTTCCTCTGTCCTATTCTTAAAATGTGTTGTAGACTGAGAACCCTGAATATCCCTTGGAGGTCCAGCAGCAAAAGCCTGCTTTCCTGGGTTATTAACTGCTGAGATCACTGGTATTCTCTGGTTTGCCACTGTACTACCTGCTTTCGTGAATGGTACATCCTTTTTTTGTTGCAGGCTAGCTGGGAGGCTGGATTTTGGTTGTTGCCAAATAAGGCTGTCCTCACTGTCAAACATCAGTGAAACTTCTGGTACCACTGGTCTAGGCACATTATACTGCTGTAAAAGACACAGTTGTTGACATTAATTAATCTTTTCTAGTCCAAGAATCTTTTATATAAACAATATAAACATTTGAAGAAGAAGAAGAAAAACAGTAGATGTATTGTTTACCAAATGGTTGAAGTACAAGTTGCAAAATGTTATAATCTGTCTCAGTATTTCTACAAGCTATATCACTACACTTTGGAAATACGTACTTTTTATGCTGGGTACCACAATCTATCTTTTTCTTAAAAGATACAATTCAAAGCCTTAATAGCTTCCTTCCCTTATTATTCCCATCATCTATTCTGCTTTGGTCCACTGACAAGTTCTTCATGTTCCTTCCAGTTTAATAAATGACATTCCAAAACACTATAGAAAAAGATTATACAACTGCTATTCGATCATGAAATATCTATATTACTTAAATACCTACTGGCAACACAGATGGCCTGGGGGGTGGAGCTCGTCTTGGGGCTGCATCGTCATCCATCATTGTCAGGAATCAAACTTCTTCCCTGGAAACAAATCAATAGCTCTAGATTGTACAATGTCTGAAAAGTATGAACTTCGTGGTAAGACGTAAATCAATTCAGAAAGCCTGTCAAATATATTCCTTTACTTGCTGTACTGGTGCAGTGGTTAGAGTATTGGTCTAGCAATCTTGCTGAACTGCGTTTAATCCCCCACGCGGCCAGTGGATGGTAACCCTGGACCACCCCTTGCACACAGGGAGAGATTTGGAAGCAAAATAAAACAGACAGTATGTCATGGCAAAGAATATCCATTATAACAAATGGAATTAAAACTAAATCTTTATAATTTTTAATCTTAAATCTATCACTGAGATGATTCTGAATGGACATTAAAAAGAGCAACATGAATTTAATATATATAATTCAGAGTTCCTCTGGTAGCATGATGTGATCAGATGAAGCTGGTGTTCATTTTCTTTGCAAACCTTTGTATTTTGAATAAGTTACCCCTCCCCCTCCACCCCAACACAGGATTAAGAAACCCATAGGCTTTTGGGGGGAGGGGGAGGCAAAATGTGTATAAAGCATTTGATTCCTGGAAAGTGTACAATAATATCAGATATGTGACAATTTCCTTGCCCACATGGCTTACCATGTGCACAGCATTTGCTGGTGCCTCTGTGCCTTGTAGCACTACAATGTTAGAGTCAGCAAGTGTCCTCTATTTGTGTTTTGACAGTTTAGAGCTTGGACTGGTTCTTCATTTGATCACCAATCTCCTGGGTGTATTGTCAATTATATCTCACATCACTATTGTATATCCTGTACAATACAGCAGTCGCATATGTATTCAATAAAAGAACTGGGTGTGGACTGCCTTGAACAGCCAAACTGCAAAACAGCCTATTGATTTAAGGGCAAGTCTTCACTGTTTATCTTCTGAAGATGAAATGACCATCCACGAATACCCTTTCCCAGGACATGGCCATTTTCGAGATAAGAGCACATCATTTTAACCCAACACTGACAGCTGCCTCACCAATGAGATGGCTAGATAATGGACAGCATCTCATGTGTGATAAATCTGCATTCTTGGTCTACACTCTGATTGGGTCGCACGCCACTTGTTCCTAAAGCGCTACTCCCTAGCAGTGATTAGTTACTCTCATGAGTACCACCTAGAAATCAGGGTGTTTTTCTCACTCAGATATTGTTGTGGATTGCTTATGTGTAAATACATCATTCAACAGGGAGAGCCGCTGTATTGAGTAATTTTAAAATTTCCCACAGACAGCCAATTATTAATGGTGTAATATGCATGAATCTCTTGTTGCTTTATATTGCAAATGACATATAGAGATCCCTATTTCTCCAGCTACTCTTGTGGATCCACATCAATGCAACAAGAACAACGAAGGGAAGGGCAAGAAAACACACGAATATGCCGAAGGCCTTTTCACTATTGCTTCGCTATTGCTTTGCCCTGACGAAGCAATAGTGAAAAGGCCTTCGGCATAATCGTGTGTTTTCTTGCCCTTCCCTTCGTTGTTCCTGTTGCAATCTGTTCTACATGAATTCCACACATCCACATCAATAAAAACCTTCCGAGGCTTCACCCCTAGACCCGAACCCCATTGCTGAATTTCCCTATCTAGGGCTTCACCCCACGATCCCAACCCAGTCACTGTGGACTTACTCTCCACGCAGCACTTCTGGCTACCTATTTTCTTCATTTCTGACATTTTTCTTTGCATGAACAAATTATTTCATGCATCAGTGACCTTAGTTTTTCCTTTCTTTATGTGTCATTAGATTTTCAAGAAAAAATATACCACAGTATTACATATTGCACAACTTCATTATCATCATCTTGCGAAGAAAATACCATAGATGAACAGTCATTCTATCCATTACCTTATACAATATGGCTGTACGAAACTAAAATCTATAACCTGCATTTTATTTTCTGAAGAAAACACCAGAGATAAAAATCATGGATTTATCAGTCTGTTAACTCAATATCCCCCAAATCATGACATCACATTGTCAAACATTCTGAATCCTTTTGTTATAATAAAACATACAGATACAGTAACCCAGAAAATGTTGTCAACAATAAACACAGAATAACAAAATGCCCAAGCGATTGATTCCAAAGAGCACATACAGGCAACACGCTAACAAAACATGAATTACACGCAAAGACTTGAATGACTCTCTTCAAATGCACTACGGAGTCTTCTTCCATCCTCCTTTTATTTGACTGCATGCGTGTGATGTCTCTATTCCGCAGAACTTTTTGTTCTTTGTAGTTTATTAGATGCTGTCAATCCTGTTCGAACTTTGAAGGAATATCTTCATATGTCAATATATCTTAGTTCACAGCCTACATGCCTATGGATATAAAATAAAATGAATACCTACTTGCTATTTTTCTCCTAAACAACAACACTTACGCATTAACTTGTGAATTATACACAGAAAAAGACTAGAAATATCCTCCTCTCAGCTGAACATCAAAGACGACCATTTGAAAGGTGTAAACAAATCGTCCGAATTCGTTGCTCTGTCTTCGTGTATTCTGGCAGTGTACGCATGAAATTCCCATAATGTTGGTCAGTTTCTAGATAAATATCATGCAGCATATTAAATGATCGCATATTTTTCTTTACAAACTCATACGTAAAAGAACGAACCATTGTTAGAATAATTGTCTTGGAATTTATGCTTTGAAGAGTGGATGCTCTGTACGTAGGCGATGTTGTGGCTTCGTTATAAATAATATAAATTGTAATATGGAATGTTATCTTTATCACTAATCCTGTCATAATCATTATCACAATTATAATCACTGATATCAGTATCACTATGGTTGTTGTTGTTGTTATTACTATTAATATTATTGAATGGAAAAAACACTCTACCGTGTTGATTCTTGTATTATTATTATTATTATTACATATTATTATTATTATTATTATTATTATTATTATTATTATTATTTATTATTATTATTATTATTATTATTATATTATTATTATTATTATTATTTATTATTATTATTATTATCTTATTATTATTATTATTATCATTATTATTATTATTATTATTATTATTATTATTATTATTATTATTATTATTATTATTATTATTATTATTATTATTATTATTATTATTATAGTTATTATTATTATTATTATTATTATTATTATTATTATTATTATTATTATTATTATTATTATTATTATTATTATTATAATTATTATTATAATAATAATAATAATAATAAATAATATATAATAATAATAATAATAATAATAATAATAATTATTATTATTATTATTATTATTATTATTATTATTATTATTATTTTATCATCATTATTATTACTACTATCATTACCATTACCATCATCATCATCATCATTGTTGTTACTATCACTGTTATCATTATCGTTATTATTTTAGATATCATTATTATTATCATCACTATTATTATTATTACCATTATCATTATTATTATTATCATTAGTAGCTTTATCATCATTATTATTGTTACTATAATCATTATCTTATATTATTATTACTGTTGCTATCATCATTGCCATTGTTATTATTATCATTATCATTATTATCAATACTATCAATATAATTATTATCATTATCAAATTTATATTACCATTATTATTATCATTATCATTATTATATTATCATCATTATTATTATTATCAAATTTATCCTTATTATCATTATCATTATCAATAGTTATCAAAATAATAATAATTATTATTGTCATTATCATTATTATAATCATCATCATCATTTTTTTATTATCATTAGTTATTGTCTTCAAAGTTCATGTTTTGCGCCCACCGCCCGCAGGTCCCGACAACGCCCGCAAAAAAAAAAAAAAAAAAAAAAAAAAAACACTAAATCATTATTTTCAACAAACTCACCAAACATTTTACTCCCATGCATCCACATCGTCAAATCTGCACAATAAACACATTTTGCACATCACCTGCAATACTGTATGTCTGCCATCACCATCACCTCATCGAAAATTCATGGTGGCAAGAGCCTTGCATTGAGCGTGGCGTGGACCTCCATGGTGTGATTTGATTTGATAATATTTGTTTACAGAACAGTGTACAACCTCCATGTTGTGATGGACAACGATGACACATACCCCCCCCCCCCCTACCCCAGTGTGACGATTGCCCAGAAGAAATAAAAAAAAGGATTTGATCTGATGAGTTTGACAAGCGGTTCTCTTGTCATGCTTTTTAGAGAGAGTACTTTTACTAGTAAATATGAAAGAAAAGTGTCATGATTGCAAACAAGAACTAAGACGTTTTGATGACTTTGTATAGTTGTTCTTCTTTTCTTTAAACATGTATGAACAGATAATGAATAATCGAAAATTAGCCTCATCAGTTTTTAGTCTTGCTTGGACGCAGAACAGGAACTTCCGTTCTTGTGGCCATATCGTTATTGTCATTATCATCTTTATTTGGCTATTTATGTAAATTGTTCATATGTAGATAAGTTTTTTCTTTGTATGTGCGCGGTGTTGTTTAGGATTTTTTTTTTTTTTTTTTTTAATTTCATGTAGATTTGGATTTCCTGGAATTATGTCAACGTACTTTGAAGCATTTTAATGTCCTAGAGCACCTGCAACTATAGGTTTTATAGTCGCTTTCATGTGCCACATTCTTTCTATCTGTTTGCAAGTCTCATATTTGGAAAGTTTATCGAACACCTTTGCTGATGCATTCTTGTCTGTAGGGACTGTCATGTCTATTTGCAAATATTTTCTTATTCTAATGATCTTTCATTAATATATCTGGCCTATTTGTAAAGTTCAGTCTGTATTTCCAGCAAAGTCCCATTACATAGTAACATAATCATTTGCTTCATATCTGTTTTTATTACTCATACTACAGTATCATGTAAGCAATACTATTAATCAACGTAGATAAATACAATACTGTCATTATTATTGTAATGTTACAATACAATCATTATCATTATAATATTACCTTGGAATTCATACAATACAATCATTATCATTATAATATTACCTTGAAATTCATACAATACAATCATTATCATTATAATATTACCTTGAAATTCATACAATACTATCATTATCGTTGTATTGTTACCTTAGAATTCTTTTCTTTCCATCATGTACATGGGTTTTGTTTGTCGAATGAACATCAATCACAAATATTGACTAGTCTACCATCAGATATTTCAAAGAAAATGAGTTTTATTCAATTCACAGAAAATGTATCTATTTAAAGGGGTATCTATTCTTTGTTTCATTACTTATTCCGAAGAACTTTATTAATCTAAACTAGAGTTGCAAGTAATTCTTTACCTAATTTTAAAAATTCTTTAAACGTATCACCGACAACTCTTTATAAAAAAAACATGAGAATTGTATAGAATAGGTTAGATTAGGTTAGGTTAGGTTAGGCTGGGTTAGTTTGGGTTAGTTTGGGTTAATTATATATAGGTTAGGTTAGGTTAGGTTAGGTTAGGTTAGGTTGGTTAGGTAGGTTAGGTTAGGTTAGGGTTAGGTTAGGTTTAGGTTAGGTTAGGTTAGGTTAAGGGTTAGGTTAGGTTAGGTTAGGTTAGGTTTGGTTAGGTTTAGGTTAGGTTAGGTTAGGTTAGGTTAGGTTAGGTTAGGTTAGGTTAGGTTAGGTTAGGTTAGGTTTAGGTTAGGTTAGGTTAGGTTAGGTTAGGTTAGGTTAGGTTTAGGTTAGGTTAGGTTAGGTTAGGTTAGGTTAGGTTAGGTTAGGTTAGGTTAGGTTAGGTTAGGTTAGGTTAGGTTAGGTTAGGTTAGGTTAGGTTAGGTTAGGTTAGGTTAGGTTAGGTTTTGGTTAGGTTAGGTTTAGGTTAGTTAGGTTAGGTTAGGTTAGGTTAGGTTAGGTTAGGTTAGGTTGGTTAGGTTTTAGGTTAGGTTAGGTTAGGTTAGGTTAGGTTAGGTTAGGTTAGGTTAGGTTAGGTTAGGTTAGGTTAGGTTAGGTTAGGTTAGGTTAGGTTAGGTTAGGTTAGGGTTTAGGTTAGGTTAGGTTAGGTTAGGTTAGGTTAGGTTAGGTTAGGTTTAGGTTAGGTTAGGGTTAGGTTAGGTTAGGTTAGGTTTAGGGGTTAGGTTAGGTTAGGTTAGGTTAGGTTAGGTTAGGTTAGGTTAGGTTAGGTTAGGTTAGGTTAGGTTAGGTTAGGTTAGGTTAGGTTAGGTTAGGTTAGGTTAGGTTAGGTTAGGTTAGGTTAGGTTAGGTTAGGTTAGGTTAGGTTTTAGGTTAGGTTAGGTTAGGTTAGGTTAGGTTAGGTTAGGTTAGGTTAGGTTAGGTTAGGTTAGGTTAGGTTTAGGTTAGTTAGGTGGTTAGGTTAGGTTAGGTTAGGTTAGGTTAGGTTAGTTAGGTTAGGTTAGGTTAGGTTAGGTTAGGTTAGGTTAGGTTAGAGGTTAGGTTGGTTAGGTTAGGTTAGGTTAGGTTAGGTTAGGTTTAGGTTAGGTTAGGTTAGGTTAAGTTTAGGTTAGGTTAGGTTAGGTTAGGTTAGGTTAGGTTAGGTTAGGTTAGGTTAGGTTAGGTAGGTTAGGTTTAGGTTAGGTTAGGTTAGGTTAGGTTAGGTTAGGTTAGGGTTAGGTTTAGGTTTAGGTTAGGTTTTAGGTTAGGTTAGGTTAGGTTAGGTTTTAAGGTTAGTTAGGTTAGGTTAGGTTAGGTTAGGTTAGGTTAGGTTAGGTTTAGGTTAGGTTAGGTTAGGTTAGGTTAGGTTAGGTTAGGTTAGGTTAGGTTAGGGTTAGGTTAGGTTAGGTTAGGGTTAGGTTAGGTTAGGTTAGGTTAGGTTGGTTAGGTTAGGTTAGGTTAGGTTAGGTTAGGTTAGGTTAGGTTAGGTTAGGTTAGGTTAGGTTAGGTTAGGTTAGGTTAGGTTAGGTTAGGTTAGTTAGGTTAGGTTAGGTTAGGTTAGGTTAGGTTAGGTTAGGTTAGGTTAGGTTAGGTTAGGTTAGGTTAGGTTAGGTTAGTTAGTTAGGTTAGGTTAGGTTAGGTTAGGTTAGGTTAGGTTAGGTTAGGTTAGGTTAGGTTAGGTTACGGTTAGGTTAGGTTAGGTTAGGTTAGGTTAGGGTTAGGTTTAGGTTAGGTTAGGTAGGTTAGGTTAGGTTAGGTTAGGTTAGGTTAGGTTAGGTTAGGATTTGGTTAGGTTAGGTTAGGTTAGGTTAGGTTTAGGTTAGGTTAGGTTAGGTTAGGTTAGGTTAGAGGTTAGGTTAGGTAGGTTAGGTTAGGTTAGGGTTAGGTTAGGTTAGGTTAGGTTAGGTTAGGTTTAGGTTAGTTAAGGTTAGGTTAGGTTAGGTTAGGTTAGGTTAGGTTAGGGGTTAGGTTAGGTTTAGGTTAGGTTAGGTAGTTTGGTTAGGTTAGGTTAGGTTAGGTTAGGTTAGGTTAGGTTAGGTTAGGTTTAGGTTAGGTTAGGTTAGGTTAGGTTAGGTTAGGTTAGGTTAGGTTAGGTTAGGTTAGGTAGGTTAGGTTAGGTTAGGTTAGGTTAGGTTTAGG